ATTAATTTTCACAACATTATCTTTCAATCTCTTATCTATAATTATACTAGACTTTTACTTGAATGCCAAAGTTTAAAATCTAAGTTACCAATCTCCTTAGTCTTTTCTCCAACTCATTTAGTTTCTTGAATACATAAGTTATTTATTTTTTTATGAATCATTATATCAACTAATTTCATTAATTTTCTTGTGAGAGTACATACATTTCAAGATTCTATTATATTATTAGTTTATGGAATAACTTATTTACCTGCATCTGTCCGTATTGTGAAAACCCTTTTTTATTTGACACTACACTCGGTCACCGGTGTAGCGGTTCTAGCTCACTTTTCGTTGTATTCAAGTAATATAGCGAGTTGTTTCCAGGGGACACCCTAATATTTACAAAATGATCAACAAGCTCCATTTCATGATTTTTTGATAAATTTTTGGGTAGTTGTTGACTACCTAACACAAGTTTCCACTTTTTACATTTGAGGCTTGGGACCCGACAATGACAGTGTTAGCAAAAAACTTTAATTCAAGCGAATAAAATATTATATTGTTTGGTAAATTAATATGCACTCACACAAAAGGGGAGAATGCGGGGTGGGCCAACCATGCGAGTTTGTATCTTAATTATGTAATTGTAACCATGTAACAATTAATACCTCCAATAAGTGGCTTGCCAAAGCAAGGGGAAAAATATAAAATTGCATTGAAATAATGCAATTAAATATTTTCCACTTAATTTGAATAATTTCTTCCCATTTTTTATATGTCCTCACAAAACAATTGCATAATATTAATAACACAACTTCACATCAATGCATAAGTCTACATAAAATAAACATAATGTTAAATAAATTAAGAGTTCTAAGTCTTATTTTGCTTTGAGTCATTTAACCTCCATGTTTTGCTTCAGTTATCTTGGCTTGTACTTTTATAGTTGGGCCGCCCCAATCATCATGTACTCATGGTTCTACACCACCCTTCTTATATGATATATAGTATTATAACATAACAAATCTGTGTTGTCCTTAGTAAAAAATTTTGTGGAATCAATTTTGCATTGAGATTAGAAAAAGCAAGCATCTAAGATCTTATTTCATGAAATATTCTTTTTTTGATTCATCAAATCCTTCTGTCCACATGGATGCAAGTAAGTTTTGTTGGCTAAATGCATTTTCGAACAACTTGAAAACATTCAATTATTCTGAATAGCATGGAATAGCTGCCTAAACAATCCCTGCTGTATGCACACAATGTGAGGCATTGATCGTTGCCCTTAGAAGTGGATTTTTTGGGAAGCAAATCAAAATTAACATTTGCTAATAATACTATTAATGTTAGCGTCACAATCCAGTGTAAAATACTAACAGTTTCCAAGCCATAGAGCTTGTAGTATACCTGGCTGATATCACTAACGTTTATGATTTAACAAAAACATTGAAGACAATTTCTCTACAGATCCTCTAAACATACGAGAGATTCTTAGGTGAGATTAGCTGAATAAGCTCTATTATGCCATTTGATAGTGTTTTACTTGATTTTATTCATCATTGATGCTAATATAACACTTGTAGAGAAACACAGAATAAACGAACTCACAAAAACACTTATAAACTGCATACATTTCTGACTCTCCTAAAATTTTTGCTTTGTTTCTATCCTATTACTTAGTGCAATGAGTTTTCCGTACCAGATAGTAATGTCTGAAAATTAACCATAGCTCCCAACAATGCTGCATGCCTTTCTTTAGTCATTAAGTTAATGAGTAGCTCTTGCATCATTAGTCTAAAGTACATCGCTGTTTTGCATGAATGAAACCTATTTCTTTTTTACTTTTGTCTGCTGCCATGTCCTGTTTGTCTTCTACTATTTATATGCAGCTAGCAATATTTTTTACTTTTGCAAAATGTAGAAACAAATGAAATTAATATTAGGATAAGATCTTGAAATATTGGTATTCTTAATGGTAAATTAATGGAATTAGTTGATATTATGGTTCATATAAAGATTAATATCTTATGTATTCAAGAAAATAAATAGGCTGGAGAAAAGACTAAATAGATTGATAACTTAGGTTTTAAACTTTGGTATTCTGGAAAAGAGTCGTACTAGAAATGGTGTAGGCGTAATTTCTGGTGTAGGTGTAATTTCAGATAAGAGTTTGAAAGATAATGTTGCAAAAATTAATAGAGTTGGAGATAGAATTATAGCCCTTAAGATTATTTTTGATACTAAGATTTTTAATATTATAAGTATTTATGCTCCTCAAGAAGGTTTGATATAGGGTCTAAATAGAATTTCTAGAATGACTTAGAAGACTTAATACAAATGATATCTATTGAAGAAAGAATTTTTATAGGAGGAGATTTAAATGGAAATGTCGGTAGAGTGGTAGAAGATTTTAGAAATATTTATGGTGGCTACGGTTTTGGAGTGACTAATGAAAAAAGTAGAGCTATTTTAGATTTTTCTTTAGCGTATGATTTTGTTATTTCTAATATTTTATTTAAGAAAAAACATGAACATCTTATTACTTATAGGAATAAATCTAATAAAACACAAATTGATTACTTTCTTATGAGGAGTAGAGATTGTCGAGATTGTAAAGATTGTGAGGCATTCCAAGTGAGAATTTAAGTACCCAATATCGTTTATTAGTCCTAGATTTTAAGATGATGAGTTGTAAAATAAAGAATAGTTGGACTCATCATCGTAGAATTAGATGGAGGAAGCTAAAAGACAAATAAAATTATTTTTATGAGTAAAATTCAAGATTTCAAAATTTTAGATGTTCATGATGAAGCAAATGCCATGTGGGATAAATTAACAAACACTTTTAAACAAGTAACAAAAGATGTATTTAAAGAATCAAAAGAAAAAAAATTTACAAATAAAAATAGGTGGTAGTAGAATAATGATGTGTAAGAGATAAAATATAAGAAGTTATGTTACAAATATTGGTTTAAATGTAAAAACTTAGAGAATTGGGAAAAATATCACACTCACGCAGGGAGTTTAAAAGAATAATCTATGTTACTATAATAGAAATAGACCATATATTGATAAAGAGACTTGTGATCTTTATAATAGATTAGATACTAAGGAAAGTGCAAAATATATGTATAAACTAGCCAAACAAAGAGATAAGAAAAGTAGCCAAACAAAGAGATAAGAATGAAATTGTTGTAGGTCTAGACATGCCTCTACATTAGTTTAAACTTTGTTGCAAGATACTAGCAGTCAGATGAATTATATGAAATAAATTAAGTTCAATAAAAAACTTTTTCTATAAAATTTTTGAAAATGCAGTTGACTTTAGTGATCTTAACATCCTTAATAATAATAAAATGTTTCCATTTTACTGTCGCATTAGTAAAAAAAAATTGATATGGCTTTAAAGAAAACAAAGGGTGGAAAGTCTATAGGACCCGATGATATCCCAAATGAAGTATGAAAATATTTAGGAGATTTGGGAGTTTCTTGGCTTACTAAACTTTTTAATATTATTTTAAAAACTAAAAAGGTGCCTGAGGAGTGGAGCAAGAGTTTTTTGGTCCCTGCTTTTAAGAATAAAAGGAATGCACAAGTGTGTGCAAATTAAAAAGAAATTAAGTTGATATGGAATGCACAAGTGTGTGCAAATTAAAAAGAAATTAAGCTGATATGACATGCTTTAAAATTATAGGAGAGAGTAATTAAACATAGGTTAAGACATATTACAAAGATATCACATAATCAATTTGGATTTATGTTGGGCGGGTCTACTATGGAAGCTATACATTTATTGAGAGGTTTGATGGAGAAGTTCAAACAGAATAAGGAGAATCTACATTTGATTTTTATTGATTTAGGAAAAGCTTACAATAAGGTTCCAAGAAATATCCTTTGGAAAGTTCTTGAGAAGAAAGGTGTTGATATGCCTTATATTCAAGTTAATAAAAATATGATACTGGAGCTGTCACTTGTGCTCAAACTGAAGGAGGATTGACCAAATATTTTTTTATTTATGTTGGATTACATCAGGGATTGGCTTTAAACCCATATCTTTTTGCTTTAGTTATGGATGATCTTACTGGACATTTACAGGAGGATGTTTCTTGGTGTATGCTTTTTGCTAATGATATCCTGCTCGTGGATAAGAAGAGAGATAAAGCCTAGGAAAAACTTGAATTATGGAGGTCTACATTGGAGTCTAAAGGCCTTCTATTGAGTAGAATTAAAACTGAATATATGGAATGTAATTTTAGTAGTAGTAGCTCTAGTTCTTTGTGTGAATAAATTTTTAAAAGGCGTGAACAATTTAGATATCTTGGGTCTATTGTTCAAAGTGATGGGGATATAGATGGGGATGTTAATGGTGAATTCAAGCTGTTGGTTGAAATGGAGGAATGCTTGGAGCCTTTTATGTGATAGAAAAGTAGCATTTTGACTAAAAGGGAAATTTTATATGATGGTGGTGAGACCTGCAATGCTCTATGGCGTTGAATGTTAGCCTTTAAAAGAGAAGCATACTACTAAGTTAAGTGTTGCCGAGATGAGAATGATTAGGTTGATGAGTGGCTTTTCACTTAGAGACAAAATGCGAAATGAATATATCCGTGATAGGGTTGGTGTAGCTCCTGTGACAAACAAAATTAGAGAAAGTCGTCTTCGATGTTTTGGCCACATTAAGCGTCGACCATCTTTTGATCCTCTTAGGAGAGTAGATGCTTT